CCCCTTCACTCCACCTACCCCCGAAGAAAGAGATCAGAAGAAGGCACAAGTTGGTAGGAACCATTTCAATAAATCATTTCAACTCACCTGGTTTGGGATTTGTCCCCCCACCCCAGGCATAAACAGAAACAATGTGTGAATCACCCACACATGGGATGGTGCTGCGATGCCCCAGCTCCTATGTCCTAGAGTTGGAGTCAGTCCCCGCCAGGGCTCTAAGCTCAGCAAGAGCAAGCAGCAATAGCAGGAGGAGCAGCAAGCAGAAGGGGGATAGACCTTAGCACAATGAATGCAGTGGGATTTTTTTCAATGACATCATCCCTCTGGCCAAAAGGCCCCAATAGCCATGCTCCGGACCGAGGCATTCTGGGAAAGGTAGTTCCATAGCACTAGCCCAGGAGAGCTCCGGGGCAGCCTGTGGAACTACCACATCCGGCATGCGCAGCAGCGGGGCGCACCCTGAGCTGACTGAGGGAGCGGGTGGCCTTGGCGGCCATGTTAGATCCACACACACACACACGGAGGCAGACGCGGAGCTGGGAGTACCAGGGGGGCGAGTGAGCGAGCAAGGGAGCGCCGGGGGTTGAGGGAGAGACTCTGGGCAGATGGAGGGCTGAGGGGGATGACCGGGCGCCTTGCCTAGGGCTTCCTGCCGCTGAGGTCGAGTTTTAGGGCCCCGGGCTTGGGGCGGGATGGAGATCCGGCACGGCCGGTCGGGCGGGATGAGCTTCTCACTCGAGCCCGGGGATCCGGCTTGGGCGGGCCTCGTTTCCTTACAAGGATCTGGAGCGGCCTGGCTCCGGCACTGCTGATTCTGGGGCTCGGGACGGGTGTGGGCCTCGAGACCTCCTCCCCCAGCTGGGGAGAAGCAGAGGCGACTGACTCGGTCCCTTTTCCGCCCCGGGGCCGCCTCCGCCCTGGCTTGTCGCGCCAGCGGCCTCCTCTCTGCCCTGGCTCTTGGTGAGATGTTTATCTCCGTTGCTCCTGCTCCTTCCTCCCCCTTGGGAGGTTTCTAGGCCTTTCCTTGGATTTTTCTTATCCGGGATCCCTCCACCCTCCCCCCCTTAAAAAAAGAAAAAAAAGGGGGAAAAGAAAACAAAGAGCGAGAGAGACTACATGCAGTCTTTGAACTACTTGGTCAGGTTTGGACGGTGGCCAGCCAGATGTTAAAAGGCCCAACAACAGGAAGGGGGGAGGGAGGATTAAGATAGTGTAATTGAGACACCCAAGGGCTCCTGCCTATCAGCAAATGAGGGCAGATTTGGTAAGATTTTTTTTTTTTTAATATATTAGGAATGACCTTGGTGGGACGACTGACTGTTGGGGTAGAGATTTTCATCAGTAATGCCCGTTACCAGAGCTGGAGAGCAAACTTTTCTCCCACCCCGGGGAAAATGGTAGCAGACTCGTTCACATGGGAGTGAAGGGGGAAGGGTAGTGATGGAGTATTTAATTTTCCCCTTTAGAAAACTGTTCTGGGTTAAATTGTGGGACTTCCAGATTTGATGACTCTTTTGAGGACCGTGATTTTGCTTTTTTGCGTTTTCCTAGGAGAGAAATTAGATAATGGAAAGTGAAGTATCCAGAACTATGGTTTTCAGTTACATAATTAAAACCATCCTCTGTTTTTGTTCTTTTTCAGAGTTTGTCAGCACAATGGAAATGGAATGAAATTTCTTTTCCTCTTAAAGGTTTCTGAAGACCCATCTGATCTTCGTTCTACTATTTCTCCCCTTTATCCTCCTATTCAAAAAAGACAAAATCACTTTGACTCAGTAAAAGGGCATACTTTAGGTCTTGGTAATAGCTGAATAAATAAAAATATAGCTGAGGTTATATCCTTGGACAAAATAGGATAACTAGAAGAAAACATTTGGAAACTAAAAGCTCTCTCTTTCAGATACATGCAAGTGATAAAAAAACAGGTTGTCTTTTTTTAAATGTTATGCTTTTGAGAACAGCTTAACAAAATGAGTGGGCTTTCTTTGGTTTAAGGTTTTGATGATCCCTTGGCATCATTTGTAATGAATACAGTGATAGAAAAAGCTTATGGAAATAAGTTTGCACTGTATGTCTGGAAACATTTTCATTCTAAAGTGATTCTTGTAAGTAAAAATGGTAAGTACAAGAGAAAAATACTATGTATATTATTTTGCTTCTAAAACTCTTTGTACACCCTAGGTGGGTAGAAGTAATAATTCTGCCTATTTTTTCCATGTTTGTGTGTTGTGAAAAGGACTTGGAAATTATTTCAAAGTAAGTACTTTTTTAAAGCAGTTTATGCACATCTCTCAATATGGCTCAGTTCCTTATGCAAACAGGCTTGAATTATCTGGAACTTTTCCTTGAGCAGAAAAGATTTATTCTTTTACAGAAAAGATCTTCACTTCTGTTTGACTTGCTATGAAAGTCCTATTTGGTGGAAAGAAAAAGACTAGCACCAACTGGGTTAAACAAGTTTGCTTGTTACATTGGTTTGTGGGGAAAGGAGGAGAATATAGTTCAACGTATTACATAATCTGTTATATGTTACAGCAGTTTGAAATTTTTCCAGCCTTCACTAATGAACATGTGGGATGTGACTATAAAATAATGAAACTATTTTCTTCATGGTATTTGTGGAAACAGTCTTATTTCTTTATAGTCGCATGTATTTTGTTGACATCAGAGTTAAAGAACCGTGATGGATTGTTTGGTCTAGTGTCATTTGTCTTAAAGTGTGCTATGGTATACTTCTATAGTTGAACATGCCTTTCTGGGGAAAGCCACTGTTTACTAATGTCTGTTCTCTTGGAAAAACTTCCTTTTGTGACTGTGTCCTGTGTAAATTAATGCTTCAAAACTGCTGTGTGTTTTTTCCTACTAATTTAGGGCATATTGACTGTAGTTTGAAATATCTGATCTTTCCTCATTCTCCCTCAGCCTCATGGAACATCTTAGATGAAATTGTGACTTTATTTAAAAACTAACTTTAGAATCCCTGATTTTAATATTCATGCTTCACTGAAAATTTTGACTAAAAATTTGTCAGTTGGACTGCTGTTGTTTTCACCGTGTCATTCCATCATGGAATGGATTTGACATCTTAAGATATATTGTTGAAATAGAACTTTGTTACTTATAAGCCCTAGCCTAACTGATTAGGAAAACTGTATAAAAGAGAAAATCAAAATTCACTAATTTTGGTATTTTTACCCATATTGTATTGGATGAAAAAGCTTCAGGAAGACTGGTACATTTGTGGAGCTAAGATTTTATTGGGTCACATTGCTGGCAGCATTCAAAAAGTCCCTTACCTTTAACAATTTAAAGTGTTACCTATTAAACTGGGAAAGCTTACTACCAAGGAGCAAGGTAGGTTGGGACCAAGTATACCATGTTTCATCTTTATATCACACGTTTCCTTACTGACAAATATAGCAGGAACTCTGTGATTTCAGTGTGTCATTTAGATATTTTCAGTTGCCCATACCGAACGTTCTTTAATTCAGGGACTCTTGATTCTTTAAAAATCAAAGGGGTTGAAAGGATACTTGTCAATGTGTTCCAAGTTATTGGTCTACAAGCAGAGGCTGTATGTATTGTGGAGATTTGTGTTTCAGGCATGGGTTGGACTGAATGATATATTTGAGAGTATATGGTGCCAGGACAATCAGTTATTGCCCAAATAGGGTGGAGGGAATATTTTAATATCAATTGCCAGACCTCGTGGCATCTGGTGGTTGGCTTCCACTTAATAGCCACAACAAAAAAATTGCTTTTGACAAATGGAAAGCAACTTACTGTCATGCTTACTTTACTATAAATACTTGAGTAGTGCAATGTCAGGAGAGAAGAAAAAGGGCATCATTTCAGTGTTCTGAGGACTTGAGTATTTTGTCCTTTGTTCAGAGATATTTCTGTCATTCCCCTTTGTGTACAAACTTTTTGTAGCTCCCATTTACAGATCTTCATAGCATCTGTGTATCATGCCCATTTTATATATTAAGGTAAGTGGCCTTTTAGGTTACAGTCTTTTAGGATAGAACAGAACTTTGCTGTTACTACCTCGGCATCAGACATTTCCCATGCCCAGTGATAGTGCAAGTCTAATTGGTAATGGAAATGTTTTATTTTTCAGGTATAATGAAGTCAAGCCTAATAGGATTTTATTTCAAAAGTGAAAATGAGGAAAGTTCTTTAAAAATTGTATACATGAAAAAGGTTTTTGTTTTAAATTTTATATCCTTTTGAGAAAATGTTAAGATATATAGTTAATTCATCATCTAAGTCTTTGTGTGACATATTAACACAAATCATGAGATTTCAAATTGGGGGTTAAAATCTTGGCTCTCTGAATTATACTTGTGTGACCTCAGAGAAGTCACTTAACCTTTCTGAGCCTCAGTTTCCACTTCTTCAAAATGAAATTGGATTAGATGGTCTGTCTGAGAATGACAGGAATAGAAAGTTAAGTAGCTTGGGTAACTTTATACTTGCCCTGATTTCCAAATAGTGTTATTACTTACTCGTGATTAGATACATCAGAGCTGTAACCCTGGTAAATGAAAGACCCAGAACTTTATAAATGTTGATAATCAAATGTGTACTGATTTTTAGTTTGATCCAGTGATCTTGGATATTGAAAGTTTTGAGTTTGTTTCAGATCTACCCCAAGTACCAGAGTATTTTCCCTAAGGATAATCCCACACACACCTATGCCGCAGATTGTAAAAACAAGTTCTTCTGTATGGTTTCTAGGCTTAATGGTGTAAAGCAAAGAACCAGATTTCAAATCCTAGCTTTGCTAGCTGTGTTATCTTTGACAGGTTGCTAATCTATAACTTCATCTGTAAAATGAGGGGTTGGAACTAAATCTCACCAAACTCAGAATCCTATGGCTTATATTACTAGGATTTTTTTTTTATTTTGATGAGGCAATTGGGGTTGAGTGACTTGCCCAGAGTCACACAGCTAGTGTTATGTGTCTGAGGCCAAATTCGAACTCAGGTCCTCCTGAGTCCAAGGCTGGTGCTCTATCCATTGCGCCACCTAGCTGCCACCTGTTACTAGGATTTTTAAAAGTTCATTGAAGTGATAAAAAGTACCTCAGAGAGCTATGGAAATACTTCATGCAAAATGCCAATCTAGACAAATAAATTGAGTTGGAATACCTAGCCTACCCAAAATGAAGTGCATAAGAAACATATGAATCCATGCTTAATATGGGTCTAATAAATTTATTGAACCATGTATTAAAGGTGGGTGCAATGGGGAGAGAAGTGTTGATTGGTCAAGAGTTCAATTATGAATGTTAAATTACTTAAACATCAATTATGTCCAGATAACCCTCTTTGGGTTGTCACCTCCATAAAGTGGCTCCACTGTTTTGGACCACTTTCCAAGTGGAAAAATAGAGAGTTGACAACATCTTCTAGTAATCAACATTTCCCCTTAAAGGTTGGCAAAATTTAGAATCTTAAAAGTTAAGAATACTGCATATTTGAATTTAACCAGAAGGAAATGTTATTAAAGTTATTAATTTGGGGGAATAAGCCAGTAATTTGCTAAGTGTTCAATGGAACACCTTGAATTTCTTTGACAAAGCAGTTAGGGTGAAGATCCTGCATTTACCAAATGTTAATGGCCTAGTGGGGATGGGAGGGAAGCTGTATAATTGTCCCACTTTAAAAAAAAAATTAAAAATATTCCCATGATATTTACTTGGTGTTGGGTTTAAGAGAGGTGACAGCCTTAAGATTTTTGTGGTATTTTCAAGTGAGGCATAGTGCAAGTTGAATTTTGAACATCCCTGCATTAGGATAAGGCATGCTAATTGCCTTAGCAAATAGCAAAGTTGTAACAAAATGAAACAGGTAATTAATGTTTGGTCTTCAAAACACTTTTTTTTTTTATTTAACAGGTGTGGCTAAATGCTGGTGCTGACAAATTACTAGGCGCCAGTGGAATGGACAACAGAAGTTACCTTGCTGAATAAAGTTATTGAGGGAAATGGGAGTCTTAAAGAAAACTACAATAATGTTGACACCTAACCAGATTGCATCAGCAGTGGCTGAAAGATGTATATATTTCGAAGTCTCAGACTAGCACGAGGGTGGATCTGGGACCGTTCTCCTTGAGTTAGCATTGAGTTCTCAAGGTAGCACTCTAACATTTAACTTTGGAGAGTAGCTTCACTTGGATTTAACCAGTGATTGAGTGAACAATGTCCTGAATAATTCCAAAGGTCTTTCATTTTTGAGTTAGGGTTTTATTATGTACATTTCTCATATTTATTTGCCCACTTATTCAAAGGAAGATTGTGTGGGAGAAAAGGACTGAATTTAGAGTTTACTTGAATTCCAGTTTTGCCGTGAGATGTGACTTGGCAAATTACCTAAATGATTTGGACCTCAATTTCTTTATATGGAAGTTCTAACTCTCAAATAGGATTTCTTATAGTGGGATTAAATGCAGAAACTGGGACTATAATTCTAGTCTGGCCAGTAAGATTTACATCACTGAGCATCAACATAATCCTTAGGGTAATACCCTTCTAAGACTTTTAACCTAAAACAAATGGTGATATATGGATAAGATAGACATCTGAAAAATAGACACTAAAGAAGAAAAGGGTGTGTTTTGGGAGAGTTTTGAGAGAAATTAGACACTCATAGCATCTTTCCAAGGAATTTGGTTGTACATGTTACACTGAATTTACAAAAAGCATTTTCACTATATTGTAGCAGCACATTTCAAAGTTCTGCTTTGTTGAACTGTGCTGTTCTTTGACCGATTATTTAAAAGCTAGTTTGCTGCCTATCCTTGGCGTTTCATAAATCAGTTTGACCTTTATACCTTTCATGTATTCTGCTTTCACTATCTGCTGTTTTAGTGAGCTTGCTAGTCGTTATGATTATGTCCATCTGTTCCTACAAACGTGGTTATTCCTCTGCAAGATTTTTTTATTAAGATGTTTATAAGCATTTTTCTGTTACTCTTGTAATTCCCTAAATGACTTTCTGTAGGATTTGGTTTTTTGTTTTGAGGTTTTTTTAGGGGGAAAAAACTTATCGTCTGTAATCTGATTTTTTTCTTCCTCTCTCACCTATCCTTTTTTATCCTGCATTTGGTAGTTTTGTGTTTCTGGTTGAGAAAAGTATGATGGACAATTTTTTACAATGGTGTTTGTGGCCACTTGAGCATTTTTTTCCATCAGTACCTTTTTTTTTTTTAAGCCAAAGACAAGGTGTTTATTTAAACATGTTATATTGGACAGACTTTTTAAGGAGTCTGAATGTTAGTGAGCTATTGGCTAGATTATAAGAATCTGAGCAGTGGCTAGGTAATAACAGTCCGAACATCTTAATGGTTACAAGATGGAACTTATATACAGAAAGACTATGGGAGGGATCTGGGAGTGGTCGAGTAGTCTTTGAAGTAATAGAACTCCAGGGACCTGGACCATGAGGCCAAGGGAGAATGGAGCCTAGATAGGATTAAGAGTGGGAAGTAGTCAAAGGCCATAGGGAGGTAAAACCTTGGAACCGATAATTAGGAGATTAGGGTAGCCACAATGAAAAACCACTTTACGGGATTATAGCCTCAGGCTAAGGCCAGAGATTGGGCCCTGTGGGAAAGCCCAGGGTTTTTCCTTTTTACCTTAGTCTCTTTTTTAAAAATTCCTTTAAATTTTATCTTCTTGCCTTCCCAATATCCACTTTTTTCCACAGATCCTTAAGAATTTTAGTTTTTACAACTTCCAAAAAGGTCATTAGTCCTAAAACTACCCCCACGTCTACTTGGATAGTAGAGTACTGAGATTACAATGTTAAATGAGATTAATCCTCTCCACCATTTTGATATTTTCCCAGTCATGTCCAGCTCAGCTTCCCCTCACTTATTCCCTAATCAACTGAGGAAAAAAAAGTTTGGTGTACCTGAAGCTCAAAGTAGAGGACAGCATAGGTTCAAATCTTGGTTCCATTTGCTTTATGCATACGTTATGTTAGCTTCAGTCACACACTTTCTCTTACTGAAGACTCAAATCTAAAATCCGTTACCTCAAGGATTTCATTAGGACTATTCAGATTATTGCTGTGTCTCTAGCCTACCACCAAAAGCTAATGTAATTCTTAGAAAAGATCATTGAGGGGCAGCTAGGTTGCACAGTGGTTAGGGCACCAGCTCTGGAGTCAGGAGGACCTGAGTTCAAATGCGGTCTCAGACACTTAACACAAGTTGTGTGACCTTAGGCAAGTCGCTTAACCCCAATTGCCTCACCAAAAAAGGATCGTTAAGCCTGTGAAGAAAGGCAAAAATAGTTCCAACCTTAAAGGAATTTATGTTCTAACAGAGACCTCTGGTCTTTATAAGAGGTAGGGCTGGATTTATTGATGATATTTGGGAGAAGTCTGAATCTATCCAGAGGCAGTGGAAGGGGAAGGATGTTCAAGTGCAGCAAAACTTGCTATTGACCACAAAATGTCATACAAGTAAACCAGTATGACGCTACGTCAAAGCAATGATATTTTTTGTTTTATCTGAAGTCCCCTTTGCCTCCATGTTAGCTGGTTAGGTGAGCAAGAGTTTACCTACTTTGAATATATTAGTTTCCCCACATTGACATGATACCTGGGAGGAAAAAAGCAGCAAATGTAAGTGAGGATAGTTTTTGAAAGGGATAGTGAGGGGAATTGTTTGTTGCTATTAGGTCCTGTAAGTATAGCTAGGATTTCCATGTTCGTTAGTGACCTCAGATGGTCACTAAAGGCCTGCCTTTTGTGGCTGAAGTAAAGTTCACTCCCCCTGCGTAGTATTGTCTTGCTTACACTAATATTGACTAGCCACGCTGGTTTGTTGAATGGGTGATGTCTACCATCCTGGTTTCCAAAGTGCTTTTTGCTTTGGGGCAAACCTCAATACAAACCAGTTCGTCTTCCTGGAATGTCCTGAAAACAAGTTCAAAGATTGCTTGCTGTCAGTGGTCTGTTATCAGCTGTAGAGGGCACCGAGGCCCAAGTTTTGAGGGAAGAAATTGGACAAACTAATACCGACAGAGTTCTTAGTAGTACTAAATTTAAGGGCTAATTGTTAAAGGAATGAATTTCTCACTCTTAAGAAAATTGAAATAAATGGTGCAGACCATTACATAAATTAACTCTGAATTAATTTCTAATGCATGCTACTAATTCTGATTATTCCTTGATGTCCTTGGGCCTATTTATAAAGTCCTAAATTAAGATTAAGTAATATACAGATCTCTTTAAGGTTTGCAAAGCATGTATTTGTCACCTGAACTTCACAACTCCAAGGTAAGTACTAGAGGTATTATCCCTATTTTATAGAGTTCTCTAGTTATAATTAGTGTCAAAGACTTAAACCCAAGTCTATCTTGCCTCAAATCTACTTTTTGCTACACCACACAATTTCTTGATAAAGCCCTAAAAAATTGCTATATGATTTTTACCAGTTCATCGATGGAAATGAAAATTATTTGCTATAACATACATGAAGTAATTGTTATATTTGAGCATTAGAAATAACAATACCCTCTGATAATCTCCATTTTTCACAGTGTGTATATTTTTTTAAATTCTGATAGTTTTAGATGAACACAGTTGTCATGTTAGAGGTCATTTTTGTTACTTTTATCGAATGTTGCTATTTTAGTTTCCAAAAAATTCCATTAAGTATGTGACAGAAATACACCCAAGCACACACTTAAGATTAAAAATATATATTTGTCCTAGTCCATTTACTGAACACATCCAACGGTAATGTCCAATATGCAATATGAAATATATATATTGGGAATTACTGTATGTGACATAATGCATGACTTGAAAACAGGAAAAGACCCAACTATAAAGAGGGCCACATCAGCAATCATTATTTATGATTTTCAATTCATTTAAGAAATGGAGATAATTGCTTTAGAATCATGTTATGAAGAAACAGATGATTGCCTGTGAAAGCATACCAGTGGAGAAAATTATTGGGTGAATTTTTTTAATGGATTTACTTAAATGGGTGGAAGAAAGTACAATAGGGGACAGTCTAGAGTTCAACTGAATAGAAAAGCACCTGAAGTGAGGAAGTGGAGCTGTTGTATAAATCCCTCCAACTAGGTCAGCTGGCCCACTGCTCCCTTTGATATATACCCGAACTTATTTAAGCACTCCTTAGCCAGACCATTCTATTTGGAAACAGCTCTAAGTTTTGGTTGAACTATGCCTCTATACCTTTCATTGCTGGTTCCAGTTCTATTTGACTTGTTTTTTGACTTGATATTTCTTCTTAGTAACTCCGATCATCCTTATGTGACAGTTTCAAGACCATTCTAGTCTTACCCCTTCAATTCTTCCCAGAATATAGTGCTTAGAACTGAACGTAATACTGTAGATTCGATGCAACTAGAGCAGAGTAAGAGAATTATTTCCTTTTTTCTGGGCACTATATACTGTTAACTGAATAGTTTGCATTAGCCAGGATGATAACTGTGTCATATTGAATGTTCACTAAGGAAGGATACAAGCATTGATTAAACTTAATACTGTGCCTGAAACGCTATGCTATGCGTTTTACAAATACCTCATTTGAGTGTCAAAATAACCCTGTGAGGTATGTATTATCCCCATTTTACAGTTGAAAAAGCTGAGATTAATTGAATTGTCTAGGGCTACACAATGAGGCCAGATTTGAATTCTGACTCCAGGCCTAGCTCTCAACTGTACTACCTAGCTGCCTGTAAGTCTTTTTCATATCTCCCTAAATCACTGTACCTGTAAAAGTGATTAGAGGAAGGGGGAAATTAAGTGCAGGACTTTACATTTATCTCTATTAATTTTGAGTATTAGTTTCAGCCTGGTATTTAAGTCAGTCAATATCCGCAATTCTGCTTCAGTCATCCAGCATTCCTCCTAGCTTTCTTTCATTCATAAATTTCATACTCTTGCCTTTTGTGACTTCAAGTAATTGATAAATGTCTAACAAGACCTTAGTTCAGTTTGATACTGATACATGAATACTGTTAACTAGCTAAAAATCTGCCTAATAACTATAATTCAGCTCATCTTGTCCACGAGCCTTTCAAATGTTCCATGGAAATTGATATGTCTACTACATTCTCATCTAGGGGTCTTAGAACCCTATCATGTCTATCATTTTCAATCTTTCCCTGTCTACTGGCTGATTCCCTACTGCCTGCAATCATGCCTAAGTCTCTCATCCCCATCCTGAAAACGCCCTCCCTTGGTCCTTTTATCTCTGCTACTTATTATCCTAAATTTCTTGTTCCCTTTGTGGCCAAATTTGACCAGAATGTCTACAATAGGTGTCTCCAATTTCTCTCCTGTCTCTCTTCTTAACCTCTTACAATCTGGCTCTGGACCTTAACTGAAACTGCTCTTTCTGAAGTTATTCTTTTCAGTCATGTCCGACTCTTCATGATCACGTTTGGGATTTTCTTGGCAATTACTGGAATGATTTGCCATTTCCTTCTCCGGTTCATTTTACATGAGGAAACTGAGGCAAACAGGGTGGAGCAACTTGCCCAGGGCCACACAGTAAGTGTCTGAGGCCAGATTTGAACTCAGGAAGATGAATCTTCCTGACTCCAGGCCTGGCACTCTATCCACTTCACCATCTAGCTGCCCTGCAAAGTTACTAATAATCTCTTAGTTGCCAAAGCCAATGGCCTTTTCTCAATCTTCATTCTCCCTGACCTCTCTACAGCCTTTGACAATACTGATCACCCTCCTTTTTTTTCTTTTACCAAGTGAAATTTTAATGTTAATCTTTAACATGGCAAGTAAGCAAACATTAGATAATTAGCTATGATTCCTCTATGTCTTCAGTGTTTAGAAGCATATTCCTCTTCATTCTTTAGAGCAGTTAGGAAATATTCTACTCTGACAGCTAGTAAAAATCCTCCAAAACCCCTTTTGAATCCTCTTGACAAAGCAGCCCACAAAGTAGCAGGTTTTCATAACAACCATGTATCGCCAAGCTGCATTTTGGCTCCATGGATCCCTGAGAGCTTGCTTAGCCAACCTCTCCTGGACTCAATGTAGTGGTATTCCTTCCATCTTCCACTGTTTGTAATGAGGAAGTTCAATTTTTCCATGACCATGTCCATTCTCATGTCCATGTGCTATGCCTGACAGGAACCTTGACCTCCCAGGAACACTGGAATCTCAACACCCACCCTCTCCTTCCTGATACTCTCTTCTCTCTAGGTTTTTGGGACATCAGTCTCTCCTGGTTCTCCTACTGTTCCTTCTCAGTCCTTTCTGGGCTCTTATTAAATCACACCATCTAATCATAGGTGACAGGAGATGCTTAAGGTTTGATCCTGGGTCCTCTTCTCCCTCTACAATGTTTCACTTAATGGCCTTACCAACTCCTGTGGATTTTAATTACCGTCTTTAGGCCAATTATTGTCGAATCTACCTATCCTGCCTCAAAGTCTCTGTTAACCTCTTAGTCTTGCATCTCCAGCTGCCTTTCAGATACCTTGTCTACTGGACATCTTGAACTCAACATGTCCAAAGCAGAAAACTTAATACTTTTTCCCCTTAAACTGTTCCCCCTCCTACTTTGTTGCCAAGGCCTACCAATTTCACCTTTATAATATCTCTTAAATATTTCCCCTTCTCTCTGATACCACCACTCTAGTATAGGCCTTTATCACTTCAGCCTGGATTATTGTAATGGCTTGCTGGTGGATCTGCCTGCAAGTCTCCCCCCACTTCAGTCGCTCCTTCATTCAGCCATTAAAGTGATTTTCCTAAAGCCCAGATCTGATCATGTCACAGTCCTCCTCAATAAACTCTAGTAGCTTCCTGTTGTTTCCAGGATCAAATCCAAAATGCTATGTTTAGCCTTCAAAGCCCTTCATAACCTAGCCCCCTCCTATTTTTCCAGTCTTACATCATGCTTCCAAACATGTAGTTTTCAATCTAGTGACACTGGACTCCTGGCTGTTCCACAAACAAGATACTCCATCTCTGCACCTAGGATTTTCTCTGACCATCTCCAATGCCCAGTATCTTCTCCCTCTTCAACTGTACCTTCTGACTTCCCTGACTTTTTTTTAAGTCCCAGCTAAAATCCCATCTTTTACTGTAAGCCTTCCCTAACCCGTCTTAAATCTAGTGCCTTTCCTCTGTTAATTATATCCTATTTATCCTGTATATAGCTTGTTTTGTATATCTTTGTTTGCATGTTGACTCCCCTATTAGATTGTAAGCTCCTTGAGGGCAGAGTCTTTTGCTTCTTTTTGTATCCCCAGCACTTTCCATAATACTTGCCACATAGTGGGTGCTTAATGTTTTATTGATTTATTACTAAAGGAAATGAGCTTAGTTTGGCATGTCTCGTTCAAAGTGAACTTGTTAGCTTATAGTGACCATCACTACCCTTTTTAAGTGCTTACAGATCATTTGCTCCAGATCACAGAATCTCACCAAAAAAGATCTCAAAGGTCTAGTCCAACATATGCCAGAATAGGAATCCCATCTACAGTAATACTTATGAGTAATTAACCTCTGCTTGTCTTAAGACCTCATGAAGGATAATTTACTACTTCAAGGGAGTCCATTCACTTGGGATTAGCCATATTAGTTTGATAAACTATCACCTCTATATACTTCAGGAGAGACTCACCAACTACCTGCTAATAATTGATTCAAAGGCTGTTCATTATGCCTGGAATACATTGTGGCTTGGCTTTGGATGATTTACTTAGCTTGAGTTAAAACTAGCCTGTTTTCTGATTATTTGACAGTTGGATGGAAATATGTGACCTAGAAGCTGAGAACAATCATCCCAGAATGAAAATTTCACTGTAATGCATCTATGGGTAAGGATTGATTATGAGACATTGCAAAAGTCTCAGTGCATTTTTAAGTTTTAGAAGATCAAAATTGCGCTAAGACTTTTGGAACACCATGTATAATCATGAAAGGTTAGTTGAAAGAGTAAAATCCAATTTATCTCTGCATCCCGGAGAAATGCTCTCTACAATGCTGAAAGGGATCACTAACTCATGAAGTAATCATCATTTTTAGCTCATTATTGGAAGATTCTCATATTAAGCCAAAATCTGCCTCTTTGTAACTTTTTAAAAATTATTATGAACTTAACCATTCTTTTTGGAACTTATATCCATCAGTCCTAGCTCAACCTTTTGAATAACAGAGGAGTCTCATATAAACAGGTAAAAATGGAAGAAAAAAAACAGAGCTCGATTCAGTCCTTTTATTTTACAGGTAAAGAAACAAGGGTTCAAGAAGTAAGTGACTTGTGAAAAGTCACACAGCTAATAAATTAGACGGGCAGGATTGAAGCTAAGTCTGTTGATTCCAAATCTAGGGATCTTGCCAATACAGCAGGGTTGCTTTTATTGAGAGTTGATCCTGTCATTTCCATCTTCTCTAATCCAAACATCCTAAATTCCTTATTCTCTATATTACATGTGGGGTTTTTTTTAACCCCTCTGTATCCTGGCTGGTTATCCTCTAGATTTACTCCTAGTTTGTCAGTTTTCCTCTTCAGTTTAATTCATGAAACATTAGACAACTTGTATGGTTATGTGATACTCTGGGGATACAAAAACCTGCTCTAAATGGGTATAAGTTAATGGAAGGCAGGGAGAGCAAGTGTGTAAATAAATATGAGAGTGAGAACATCCAGACTAAGCACCCTGAAAAATTTGAGAATGGAGAGATTTTTATCTGGGAGATTCAAGGAGGGCTTCATAGACGAGGTGGTAGCTGAGATGGAACTTGGAAGAAAGTTTAATGAACACATAAATGAAAGAGTAGAATGGAAACAAGAATGGGAACAGAGGGTAACTCAGTTTGACCATAATATAAAGAGGGATTTTATAGTAAGTCTTGACATATTGGTTGGAGCCCAATTATAAAGGCCTTCCAAAGTCAAGAATTCTAATCTTATTTGGTGGGCAATGGTGGGGTGGAGGATACAGTGCTAGTGAAGGTTTTTCAGCAGAGGAATGACAACATAATGTTATGAGGAAGATTTTTTTGGGCAGTAATATAGAGAATAGGTAGATGGGGTAATCTGTGAGGAGACTAGGTAAGAAAAGATAAGTGCCTAAACAAAGGCAAACATAATGGAAATGTAGATTAGGCTCCAGATGGAAGAGATACTGCAGAGTCAGCACCTGGCAATTGTTTGGAGACATGAGTGAGGGAGTGGGACAATCAAACATGATTCCCATTTTATGAGCCTGGGTGCCTGGGAAGATGCTGCTGCTAACAAATCAGAGGAACCAATTTAGGGAGGCAAATCATAGGATTATACATAGAATTTAGAGCTGGAAGTGACCATAGATATCATCTAGTCATCTCCTTCACCCCACATCATCGTACAAAGGAGAAAACATGCCCCGATATATTAAGCAAAAAGTTGGACACAACTGAAAAATGACTGAACAACAAAATATGCTTATGGTAGCTTTATCCTAGAGGGACTTGATGCTTTTATCTCTGAGTTACAGAATCTTAGAATTAAAAAATGCAATGCAGTAGAACAGGCATTAAATTTGGAGTCAGAGGACTTGAATTTGAATCCCAACCTTGCTATTTACTATCTGAGTGACTCCAGGCAAGTTGTTCTAGGCTTTAAGTTTCCTCATCTGCAAAATGGGTACAGGAGGCAGGACTGGAATAATCTCTAAGATTCCTAGTTCCCAATCATATGACCTAATGACCTACTGGTTCAACTGCTTACCTGATGCAGGAATCCCTTCTACATTATTCCTGAAAAGTGATTGGATCTGAAACTATATTGGGAAAATAGTCAAGAGGAATCCTTTGTCCCATGGCATCCCTACCCTTGGAGTACAATTTCAAAAATGTTTCTTATAAGGGCGGATAAAGAAATGTGAAGTAGAACAATCACACTAGTGTCCAGAGGCATGATACTCACTATAAACACTTCAAGAATCTACTAAGTAGTGTACAGTCAGTTGGAATCATTCCCTTCCTGGATTTCTCAAAAAACAATTGCTCAATGTAATGCTTTGTTGGCTGCTTTCCCTCTGCACAAACCATGAATATTTTAATTTGCTACATATTTCAGACCTTGTTTGATGCTTGGTCTTCCATGGAAACCATTTAGGTATGTTTCTGTTTGACATAGTTCTTAATGAAAGACTTTTGGATGGGAATCTTCAATATATGATAGTTGCATTTCTACTAATATTTGACTGAGTAGTTTGCAACTCTAAGTCTCTCATTTAAAAATCCATTTTTATTTATAATGAGAAAAATACCCAGTTAGAGAAATTTATCAAATTAAAGTAATAGCTCATATGTATCATCTGTTTCAGTGGATAGAAAGATTTCTTTAAGGTTTATAAAGTGTTGTCCTAACATCATTCCTGTAAGGTAGACAGTGTGGAAGAAAGAGGTTCAGATCAAATGCTTTGCCCTTGGTCACAGAGTATTTTACTGGAACTGGAATTTGGAACAAGGTCTAGCTTAGTGGATAGAGTGCTGGGCCTGGAGTCAGGAAGACTTGAGTTCAAATCCAGCATCAGACACTTCTTAGCTGTGTGACATTGGGCAAGTCATTCAATTTCTGTTTGCCTTAATCCACTGGAGAAGGAAAGGGCAAAACACTACTAATCTTTTCCAAGAAAACCACATGTCATGAAGAGTCAGACATGACTGACTGAACAACATCGTCTTACTTGGAATTTAGTGCTCTCTGCATTGGACCACATCACTTTAAATAATAATGTTATCAAATACTCAAATGTGACCTCATTGATGTGGCTATTCCAATCTAATGATAGATTGCAACCCTCTGTACTTGAACATCCTATGCAATAATTCTGTGTCTTTCCCTGAGTTCTCCTCAGAGAGTTTTACACCATCCTGGGAGCCTTCTTTGACTTTCTTGAGATCACAAGGAAGACAATGGGGCACAAAGGCCATCTAACAAGTTGTCTCTGATCCTTGACCCATAACCAACTCATCTTTTTCAGTCATATATTTCTACTCCAGTTCTCTGTTGCTCCTCATATGTCATATGTTATGGCCTTCTCATATATACCATATGTCTCTCCATTGCCCTTTGAGTGATGCACAACTTTAATTTTTTAGAAATTGTAGTTTTCCATGTCCAAGATGCAGATAGTGCTAATTGATACTGAGTTGGGCCCAGAATTAGGAAGAGGAGAATTGACTGGATTGCCTATAGGAAACAACAGATCTTTAAAGGTCCCATGCTTCTCCCTAAAATAAAGACCCATGTGACATGTCACAAAAAAGCTTTTTATTTGATATACTGATGGATGAGCTCTGTAGGTTGTCCATTTAACAGAGGGTCCTAATTCAAGGTAGTCTCTGTGACTATACTTTTTGAAAAATTGCACTGTTTTGATATATGCATAAGAGACCCCTTAAAGGTGTCATTTTGCTATGCCAAATAAAATTTTGTTTTGTTTGTTTTCCAGGGGAGGAAGTACAATACAACGTCAAGAACACTGGCTCTGGAACCAGAGGACCTGGCTTCAGATATTGCCTCTGATCTTTACTACCTGTGTGACCTTGTGATCACAACCTCCCTAGGCCTCAGTTCATTATGAGGGGATAGATTAGATGGCCTCTCAAGTCCCTTCTGACTGTAGATCTGTGTGCCTATGATTTAATTTATTCCTAGTGCTCATTTGGCCTTATGGTAAACAATAAGCACCATGGGGTCTTATATTTCTATATCTTTCAGTCAATTGAGTGATGATATGTGGTCTAATGTACAATATCATTTGCAAAAGCCTGCCTGTTACCTACTAATAACCTCATCAAGGATACCTTCCAGTTGGATATATATTATTCTTATTAAACTTTTGTATAAATAGGAGAGTAGGCACATAATTTGGTAGTTGTTGATACCCCCTTAGTATCAACCTCCCATTTTCCAGGTATTAATAAGGTCTGAAATACTTTTCACACTTTTGGATTCATAGATACCTAGTGAATCGATCCTTCAATGCCCTCATGATTATGTAATTGCTCTTCAGTATGGATCTTCTCTGTATATATACCTGTTCTTATCAACTACTTTTTCCTATCCTTGTGATCTCTTATCTACCTTCTCTCTAACCACATCTGCAACTGTGAAGTTCAAGTCTCTTAGTATTGTGCTTCTACTTTCCTTGAGGATGAAAAGAGGTTTTTGTTTGTTTGCAAATATTTTGCAAATTAGATATTTTCTGTCTTTTGTTTGCTGACCTCCTTATTTCATCTTGAAATGCTCTCAGATGATTTTGCTTAGCTGGATCTTTCACAAAACTTTCTTTAAAATTATTTTCTTTAAATTGTTATTGATATTTTTTCTCTTACATTGCCTTCATTTTGCAACATATCCCTCTGTCTTCCCCTTCCCAGAGATTTCTCTCTTATAACCAAGATTAAAAAAGCAAAGAAGGGAACAAACATTAATCAAGCATCTATTATGTAATAGACACTGTGTGAAGGGGGAAAAATATCGTTTCAGCAAAACTAACCAATCAATTGAGTCTGGCAGTCCAGAACCTACATTGGTCCATATTCTTAGTCCTCACCTGTAGCTGTGTGACCCTGGGCAAGTCACTTAACTCCACACAGTCAGGAAGATGCATTTTTTCATATCTTTTCCAAAGCCAATCTTGGTCATTATAGCTATACAATATTTTCATTTTGGGGGGTTCTCTTTACATTGTTGTACTCAAACTGTATACATTCTTTTCCTATTTCTGTTTACTTCACTCTGTTATCAGTTTATCTAACGCTTCCCATGTTTCTCTGAAGGCAGCCAAGTGGTGCCATGAATAGAGCACTCGACCTGGGGACCTAAATTTAAAACTGACCTCAGACTCGCTAGCTGTGTGACGCTGGACAAGTCAATATTAACTGCTGTCTGTCTCAGTTTCCTCATCTGTAAAATCGGGATAATAATAGTACCTACCTCCCAGGGTTGTTTTAAGGATCAAATTATGAGTTAATATTTTTAAAGTGTTTTGTAAACCTTAAAGCACTATATGAATCCTAGCTATTCTTTAAATTCATTGTTTTTTATGATACACTATTATCCCATTACGTTCATGTAACATATTTTGGTTAGCAATTCCCCAATCAATGAATATCTATTTTATTTCTAATTATTTACTAGTGCTGCTACAAATATTTTGGTGTATAGAGGACCTTTCAATCTTTGACCTCCTTTCCTCAAGCTTGCTATAAACTATAAATCGTCCACTGTTTTCTCTAGATTTTATAAGTCAAATGCTACTTATTGTTTTAATAATATTTTATTTCCTCCTAATTACATTAAAACTGCTTTTTAGATTTTTTTTAAAAAGTTTTGAGTTCCAAATTCTGTCCTTCCCTTTCTCCCTCCCCTCTCCCTGAGACAGTAAGCAATATGATACAGATTATACATGTGCAATCATGTAAAATATTCCCATATTAGTCATTTTGTACAAGAAGACTTGAACAAACGAAAGAAAGAAAGAAGGAAAAGAAAGGAAGAAAGATAGTATGCTTCAGTCTGTATTCAGACAACATCAGTTCATTCTCTGGAGGTGGATAGCACGTTTCATCATGAGTCCTTTGGGATTGTCTTGAATCATTGTATTGTTGAGAATAGCTAAGTCATTCACAATTCTTCATCATACAGTATCAGTGCTACTTATAATTGTTTATCATCCAGTAGAATATAAATTCAGTTGCTATAGAAAGAATGTAACATTTGGAGTCAAAGGAAATGAGTTTAATCCTTAAAGATTAAGTCACTTAATCTGTTTGGGTCTCAGTTTCCTCAGCCATAAAATGAGGGGTTGAACTAGGGGATCTCAAATGTCTCTTTTATCTCTTAATCTATGATTTTTTGAGGGCAGGTACTGTCTTATATTTCTATCCCCAAGTCATAGCACAATGCCTAGCACACAGTAGGCTTTTAATAAATGCATTTTGATTGATTTATCCTTTTCCATAAGCTTTTACAAGTAAATTAATATTACAAAATAGCTGCCATATTTCTCTGCTTAACAAGTCAAGTATTTTTAGTAAGTTATGTTTAGGTTTTTTATTCTCCCCATACTGATTTACAATGATTGAACTTTGGTATGAAGTTATTATAATTAGTGTCATTTCTATGATATCTCATTTTTGTCATCAAAAACTTGTTTCATAGATGAGGTATTATTTGTTTCAGTCATGTCCCACTCTTTGTGACTCTGTTTGGGGTTTTCTTGGCAAATATTCTGAAGTGATTTGCCATTTCCTTCTCCAGCTCATTTTTTTTTCCCCAAGGCAATTGGGGTTAAGTGACTTGCCCAGGGTCATACGGTTAGTAAGTGTCAAGTGTCTGGTCTGAGACCAGATTTGAACTCAGGTCCTCCTGACTTCAGGGCCAGTGCTCTGTTCACTGTGCCACCTAGCTGCCCCATTCTCCAGCTCATTTTACAGATGAGGAAACTGTGGCAAACATGGTTAAATGACTTGCCCTAAGTGTCTGAGGCTAGATTTGAACTCATGAAGATGAGTCTTCCTAACTACAGGCCCAGCACTCCATCCACTGTACCACCTAGCTGCCTATAGATAAGGTTGGAGTTGTTTTAATTGTATACACTATATTTTCCTCATTTTTCTTATGACTTTGTACTGTGGTTTTTTTTTTTGTTGTTATCTTTGCCCTATCAAGTTGATGATATAACTGTACAAAGACTTGATTCAGGAATGACTTCCACCTCTGTAACAAGTCCATTAAAATATAATCAATTTCTTTTTTTTTTTTTGGTGATAATATTCAGCACTCATCATATATAGTGCTTGCCAATTCTTTTCTTGAGGAAAGTATTAATGATGTAGTCTACAAGGTTTCTACATGGTCTACAAATCTTTGACTTCTTTCCTGCTTAATTCCTACTCCATTTTTTCCAACATATTTTTTACCACCCTCCAATATTCCCAACTTTGCATTGCAGTCACTGAGCATCGCAGTACTGGAGACTCTTATTGAGATCTTCATAGATTTTCTCTACATCTTTATCTACTGAGCTAGATATTCATGGATAAATTACAATCATTTTCATGGTGTTCTCTTTACAAACACTTATCATGAGCACTGGAATATATGCCCAAATAATTTGTGAAAGATTTCTTGTTGTCCCTGAATGCATGATAAAAACAACTCCATTAGTTCCTTTATTTGCCTTTCCAAGGAGAACTGAATCATCTTTCCATTTAGCTGCCACTTTCTTCTTTTTTCTGTATAGTTTATAGCGAGAATGTCAAGATTGAGATGACTTAGTTCCTCCAACAATATGTTCACTTGTTGGACCTCACATTTAGAATACCAATTGCTAAGTCAAGTATATAGACTGTCTAAAAATTCAGTTATTCTTAGCATGCTCTTTTCCCTTTTTTATCACTGCATAAGTATAAGGGGGCCAAACACATAAGATGAAGTTACATTTTGCATTTCTCTTTGTTTTATGGGTTGCCATGCCCAATGCATCCCCAAGACTACTGCTAATGAAAGTTTCTATTCTTAGCTAAGTTGGTCCTTGGAAAATAGTGGGGCCCTACATGAAGCCTTTCTAACATGGGAGCACCTGTCAGTGTTTCTGCTCTGCTGGCATAGCTTTTGGGAGCCCAGGGTCACCTCCACACTGCAGCCCTTCATGAGGCATTGAAGTGGGATTTTGTGGAGGGTAACAAAGTAATCTAATAGAGGATAGGGACCAGACTTGTGATTTCACTGGCAGAAGAAGTGCCAGGTAAGAAAATGCCCTCTAATACTCCAGGACAGCACCTTCTTTACAAATGATAGCTCTGAAAAACTGCGTAAAGTCCTGAGAAGTTAAATAATTTGCCCAGGCCTGTATATGGCAAAGGTAGAAATAGGACTTGAATTCAGGGCTTCCTGGCTTCAAAGACTACTCTTTATCTATTATTCCATGCTATATATTATCATAATAATTTAAATGTGTATAAATTCATTGGAATCCACACAAAGTACAGAAGAATTAGCCGTGGGTTTTTTTTTTATAAATATCGTTTTATTTTAGGTCACTCAAACATACACATTTTATTAAGCATTGTTTGCTTTTTTTGTTTTGTTTTGTTTTGTTTTTGGTGAAGCAGTCGGGGTTAAGTGACTTGCCCAGAGTCACACAGTGTTGTTTGCTTTTAAAAACTTCTTTGTGGCTTGGGTTGGTCCTCATGAAAATATATATTACTTGCCAATAATGTATAGTTGTGATTTTTTTTAAAGTACGTAATTAATCAGCAAGCATTTGTGAAGTATCTATTATGTGTTCACCACTGAACTAGGTTCTGGGATCAAAAAGACAAAAATAAAATCTCTCCTGCCCTTAGGAAACTTACATTTCATAGGAGGAGACACTATGCAAATATAAGTGTATAAAAATAAATGGAAAATAAGTTGTAAGTATAACAGAGGAAGCTTTAGAAATTGGGGGGATTGAAGTAGGCCTCATGTAGGAGGTGGTATTTGAGCAGAGCTTTGAAGGAAACTAAGGTTTCTAAGAGGCAGAGGTGGGAAGGATGTGCATTGCAGATATGAAGACAACCTGTATAAAAGTGTGTAAAGATAAAAGATGGAAATTGTGTGTGAAGAACAGCTAGAAGCCTGGACTGAAGATTGTGTGAACACACACACACACACACACGCACACACACACACCCCCTCACTCCTCAGCCACACCTACTGGCTACATTACCGGTCTTTAATAGCTCCTGCATTAAACTTCCAACCTAGAGCCTGGACCTCAAACATCAAAGTTCTTAGGAAGGATCCAGTATAGGTACATAGGGTCATGAAGATTAGTAAAAAGCCAACAATGATTAAAATTTAAGTGTTAAGATTAGTATATAACTCCCAGGGGGCAGAGATAATTTGCTTATGTTAGCTTCAATCTCTATCCCTAATTTAATCACCCCATTTTTCCTGCAGTGTATGCTTTGTAGAGGAAAGTAAAATATTATATACTGTCAGCCTTAATTTTGGGTGTCTTGACATTTACAAAAATACTTTCACCTATGCTATCAAATTAGATCCTTGTTATATAACTTTATCAAGTAGGTAGGGCAGGTAGGTACTATTCTCCCCAATTTCCAGATGAGAAAATTAAGGCCCAGTTAGGTGAAGTGGTTTGCCCATGGTACAGCAACTTACTAATTAGTGGCAAAATTAAAACTAGACTGAGTAAAACAATGCTGTGATAGGAAAAGCACTGAATTTAGACTCTAAGGACCTCGGTTTGATCCTAATTTCTTCTATGGCTATAGACCTTGGTCAAATTACTTAACCTCCCTGTGCCTCAGTTTCCTCATCTGTAAATTAAAAGGATTATACAAATTGATCCCTAAGGCTCCTACAGTAGCTCTAAATCTTAAATTCGCATAAGCCCTAGTCTACTTACCTCCAGCCTCAGACTTTTTTTTTTACCATGAGAGATAAACTCAGTCAATCCCAACATCTATGTTCCATGGTAACACCCAGTCTTCGGGAGATAGGGTATCTATAACTCATACCTCAGAAAGCCCACTACTTGAAATTAAAACACTGACATTTCCCAAATCAAAACTAACAAGAACTCACATTTATATAGGACTTAAAAGGTTTATTATAAAGCAGTTGACTTACCACAAATCTGTTAAGTATTAAGGGAGGTGTCTTTGACAGATGTGGAAACTGATGCAAAGTTATATTTGCCAAAACCCAACTCTAAAAATGTCAGAGCTAGAATATGAACCCAGATCTTCTGACTACAAGTCCAGGATTCTTTTCATCTCACTATGCTACCCCTCAGGTTTGATGCATGTAGCATTGTGACCTTTTTACTGAGGGGATTAAGACAGAAAGTACTTAATTGTGGGAACTGAGTAAACCACACTGATTCCTTCTTGCCACTCAATT